CCCAGTCTATACATCACTTTTGACCAAACAAAATGATCTTGCCGTTTTTTACTACAGCACTAGGAGGACATGTACAGATGCATGTAATGTAAAACGTGTAGGCAGGCCTGAGTAACAAACAGTTTCTTAACATCAAATTGTTCCATATTGCAAATATCACAACACACTCTTGAATGGAAAAAGGCTTTATGGGCTTGTTCGAAAGCTTGACTGCCCTCTCATCACAAGTAGTTCCTTAATGAGCAATGCCTCATTACACCCTTTCATAATTTATTTTCCAAGTTCAGTGGCTCACAGCCACTTTGATTGATACATTTTTGAGTACACATTATGTACTTACTTACTCTTTCGAACTCACTATTCCTAGTTTATTTTATTAACGGAGTTAGCACACATACACTACTCTAAAATAGAAGCATTTGCGGATGACACGTGGAATGAGTAGGAAGGACGCGGAAAACAAAAAAAAAACTATTCTACTTCTTTTTTTAGCTTTTTGTCGTCATGACTCGTCTACAATGTATTTTTCTAGGTCGATATTCTTGTGTCAGTAAGAAGAAGTTATCAACTTGGATCTATTATTGTTTAATGCGTTAACAGTAAGAAAATATTTGTCTAACATATAAGATGGTTGACAGCTAGACAGCATGTAAGAAAGTGAGAGAACTGAGAGAACTAAATTGGCGTTGCTTAAGATTAAAAACACACTTTTGGAATTTAGACCAAGGAGAGGTTGCTTCCGTGCAGTTGGAAAATAAATGACAGAGGATTGACCATCGTAAGAAACTGGCAAAAGTGACCAGCTCCCAGATGGCTTGATAGCTCAATTGGTAGAGCACTGCACCGGTATCGCATAGGTCATGGGTTCGAATCCCCTTCAGGCCTGAATTTTTTTCAGCCTTTAATTTCACAACTGCTTAAGTTGTGTGCTAACTGCGATGATCAATCATGTCTTCATAAAGATATCTCTAGTTTCATTATAAATAATGGGCACTCCTTAAAACACTTGAGGACACTTCTATGTTGAACGCGGTGTGCCTCAAGCATGCCGACATTCAGGCTTATTTTTGAGTCTCGTTATGGCTATGGAGCTCCTTGCTCTAAGAATTAGACGCTACAAAAAAAAATTATACGGATTAAAATACAGGAAAATGAGGAAATCCGACTTTCGCAGTAAGCAGATGATACATACAGCTGTTTCTTCCCACCGATTCCCTGGAGTCTATTTTCAACTTATTTCACTTACTCTCACTTTTTGAAAGGTAGCTAAAGGTGCTCTTGTGCTCTTGTTCCAAGTCTTGGTTGAGAATTTGAAAAAAATGATGTCATTTTCTAAAAAATACCGCACGGGTTGAAATTATAATAACAATTAATGTAGAAAATTGCACGAGTATGAGCCAACGTTTTTGTTATACTTTGTGCAAATTGCTGTACTAATTGTTATTATAATTTCAACCCTTGTAGTATTTTTGAGAAAATGAAGCCATTTTCTCCAATTCTCAACCAAGACTTGGAACAAGGATAATTAATGGCGGCCGTAAATGTCCAAAAAACTTGAGTTCTAATGTTCGTAATAGATTGAAATTTGTCAAGATATCTAGGAAACTGACCTATTGTGTAAGAAAATGTAAAAAATGGGTATCGAGAATTTGATCATAGTGGCACTTTAATAATACATTGATCATATTTTAATATTTTGATATTTTTTATGCACATCATGACATTTAAAAGAACTCTCGTGCTCAATTTTGTGATACTTGCCTAAATAAAGTTACTCACTTACACTTACTACTTCAAGAATTGAATCTTCGAGATTAGGCATAGAACCCAGACACAACATTCAAGATTTTGCTCGGGTCATTTTCACAACAGTCTGAGTACCCAGTTCAAAAAGTGAGAGTAAGTGAAATAACTTGAAAACAGACTCCAGGGAATCGGTGGGAAGAAACAGCTGTATGTATCATCTGCTTACTGCGAAAGTGCGATTTCCTCATTTTCCTGAATTTTAATCCGTAGAATTTTTTGTAGCGTCTAATTCTTAGCGCAAGGAACTCCATAGCCATAACGAGACTCAAAAATAAGCCTGAATGTTGGAATGCTTGAGGCACCCCGCGTTCAACATAGAAGTGTTTTAAGGAGTGCCTGTTATTTATAACGCAACTAGAGATATCTTTGTAAACACACTAATCCGCTGCCGTAGTTCTGGACCGAGCTTAAAAGCAATCCCACTGCATTGAGTCGACCCTTTTGTCTACTGATTTCCATTATGTCTGCTATTAACCTTATACTTTCGCCAATGAATTTCCTTTCACATACCCAGTTTGGCATGCAAGGGTAGCTAACAGGCTTTCTCTTCGACAATTTCTGCATGATAAAGTGATGTGTTATAACGTCAAGCGGGTCAAAAAAGAAGACCACTGAGAACAAAAAACATTTATTAAGTAACTGACTCAAATCCATTTTTGTTTCCTTTGTATTTTATCCGGTTCTGTTCAACTCAAACTCCCCCTTCCCCAGCCCCCTTCAAAACAATACTTGGCTTCACACTAGAGCTTGTAAGTATTGTAAGTATAATCTTAGTGCACTTAGAACTACTTTGAGTGTGAAGGGGTAAAATGTGCTTACTTGAACTTTATTTAGTGACCATGGAAACGTTCGTAGATCAAAGGGGCCGAAGTGCGCCGCCAAGTATGGTCCTGACATCACACTTGAAAACGCACTTGATCAATAGGAAATGGAAGCCAACTGAAACCGATGTGCAGCGTTGCTACAATTCTGATGAACAAACCGACAGACAACTTACTTGAATTTCATTTTCATAGACAGCCTAAACAATCGCTTTTCATATCATTTGACACCAAATGCTCTTCTGCAAATTACAAACCAGCTGCGGTTTCAAGTTTTCACCAGGTTATTTCTTTGCACCCGAAAAACTCTGTTGAACATTGGACGAGTCACAGGGAAATGCATTTTCTAGGTTAGCTAGAGCCCTACGGCAATTTCTTTACCGAAAACCGCGTTGTTGAGCTATTCTAGAGAAATACAGAAGATGTCGTTGCTCTTTAGCAACAAAGCAACTATATGCATTTCTTCACGATTTTACTGCCGAACAATCGCATTTGTGATATGTATGACTGATTTTACTCCGAAAATGCTTCAAGTAATATACTTTGCAATATGCTTTGTCATCAGGTGTGAGGCCAAGTTTTGTTAAGTGCGACTTGAGATTTTCAAGTGCACTTGAGTCAAGTGCTTACTTGAAACTAACTTAGCTTCTAGTGTGAAGCCAAGTAGGTCTTATCAAGCGCCTCATAGTTCACTGATTACGTCGCCGATAACTAAAACCATATTAAAGGTCATTAAAGGAAGCGAATATATGAAATAAAATACGTTGAATTGTAGGAGAAAAAGTTTAAAACACGAGAGAGTTTCACACACGGCTTAGACCGGTATGAAAATAAAAACTAACAAAAACAATTAGGATTGACCAGGATTCGAACACATGACCTTAACGATGAATACCGGTACGTTCCAGGTTGCCAAAAATTGTTTGTTTTTTTTAAGAATCTTTACATACAGATAAAATAAAAATGTGAGCGAAACCGTGCGATCTCAAGTACCATCAAGTGCGATTTCTTAAAAGAATTCACGTACCTTCCCGTCAACTTTACAGCTTGAGATTCTCGCATCCGGCAGCAACTGAAAAGCTAGCACTTGAAATGACGAGGGTTAAGGATCGAGAAGGACTCCAGCCAAATTTCCGAAAAGATCACTTTTTATTAAAAACAGAAGCCCGTCACCGTTAAAAATCTTTTATGAGTGACATTGATTAACTCGCGTCTGACTACACTGATAAAGAAGAGAAGCCATTTTGTTTCACTGGGCGGTGAATCAATCGAACCGCGCAAAAAGTACACTGGTTTAGGTGGTATATGCTATAAAGAATAACATGGACATATCAAACCGGCATTACATGAAAATATTCATTAAGTTGTTAAATTTTAACGAGCAGTAACGCGTGTAATAATGGTCACTCCACGAGTTTCCTTTAAGACGCCGTGTAGGCCAGTATTATGTCAATTTGTATATAAAATGCCTTTGGCAAGAAAGAATACCAGCTTTACAAATAAGCCGCCATCAAACATAAGGTTTGAAAACAAGCTTAAGCTTAATTCGGAAATGGAAATTTATGTGGGAGTAGAGAAAAGATTCTTTAAAGAATCATTTTAAGATCATCCGGTTTACTACTGTGCTTCACATTCAATTTATCGCCAATTAGTCCACGTTCCATGCAGAAACTACAATAGCGTCGAAAAGATGGCAAGAATAATGAGCGGAATTATCTTATTCAGAGGCGATACTTGGAAAATCGTTCTTAGCTTTTATGCTTAGCAGAAAAAATTGTGGTGTTGTTCAAATTGAAGTTTCATCAGAAAGCTTCAATTGCACTGGAGAGAATTCTGTGCGTGTGGTAACTATCGCAAACGATGGGTTGGTCAGGAAATGTATGATTTACAATAATTTTACAATATTTGGGGAGGAAGCCACATCAGCCTTAGCTGTTTTTCATGCGAGCTCTCTATTCTGGTCAAATTGGAATTTGGAAATTAATGGGTTTTTTTTATGATAGGGCGTCAAATATCTGTAAAACGAAACCAAATGTCCAGTGGCAAGCCGTTGAAAAAACCACTAACTGAACGTATTTCTTGTAAACTTCCTGAATTTTGTCTTTTGATCACCTGAGGAATTAAGACGACCAAGGAAAGTTCCAAATTTAGTGGCAGGATATTATACGATAATTGTTTATTTGAAAAGTGCAGGGTTAGTTTTCATTCCTTAATTCGACGTCATTGAAAAGCAAGAATTAAACATCATCTCTGGGTAATCCTTTCGATTTTATAATGAAGGTACTGAAAAGCGCAATTCTTTGGGAAGCCCACATAAATACATACTGCCACAAACGATAAACAACGCCCTGTAGGGATCAAGTACTTTCAATACCTACAATAAAAACGGTCAAACTCTTTGTTTTTTAGATACGGAAACGAGAAAAAGGGCTCAGAATTTCGTTAGTAAGACACTCACGTCTCAAAAAGGGAGGAGTAGTAAAATAACGTGCTGTAAATGGTCAATCAAATAATTTTGCATTTAGTTGAATTTAGGTGGACTTAAAATTAGATATTTAGATTCCACTTTGAAGAATGTTCAATCCTGCAAGCCCAGCCGGCTGGCTTGCTTGTAATGCACACAGGAAGAAGAGATACACCAACAATGCTAGGGCAAACCAAATATGTCGTGCGTGTGGGGAAGTCGCCGCATCAACAACTAGGATTGAAGATAAAGATAACGAAAACAAACTATTGTTTTCAAGGTGCATTTACCAGAAACGCAATCAGAATGGGAAAATTTGGCTTCAATAAAAGAGCCCTGCACACACAGCTGGATCTCAGCGACGCCCACAGTGCTGTCGTAGTGCCTGTGCGATTGTCAAGTTAAAAACAAATGGCATCTATAGCGTCAGTGAGGCTTTGTTTAAGGCGCCTTTAGATTTGACCTCATTACCTTGGTATTTTAAAAGAAGGGGAGACGAATATAATAGGATTGAAAACTCAAAGGAAATACAGGTATAAAAAGGCGCATGAACATCGAAAATTCACTTCACTTTGAAAGGTTACATAACAAGAGTCCAAGTCTCAGAACTCAAATGGTAAGGTTTTCTGTCGTGTATACTTATATAAGAAAGAGAAATAAGAAGTTCACAACATATTGAAACTAGGAACTGAGTTTTAACTTAGGTAAAACTGTCGGACTTGTCAGACTGCTGATTAAACAGTTCTGCATTTTGTATGTATACATTCCGAGGGGATTTTTTTCAAACAATTTTTGACATTTTCGTTCTGATCAGTTTTGCAAGATAGCTAGAACACTGGAACGGCCCTTTCTCTTGGCAAAATTAAACTGGGATCATTTTTTTTTTGCAAAGAAACATCTTAGTTCCAAAAGTAGTGCGCTCAATGCCCGCAGTTGTCATGTATAAGCGAAGGTCCTCTCTTCAAAAGTAAAGATTTGCATTTTGTTTTAAGGACTTGGAACAATCTCTGTTTCTCTCATGTTAAAGTCACTTAAGGTACATAGCTTAGGTTTAAGGAGATTTCTAACAAACAAAGGAGCCTTGCCTTGAAACAAGTGGAAGAATCTTAAATTCAATTCGCATATTACTAGGTAACCAGTATAATTTTACTAGGAAAGGGGCCGGACTGCGTTCTTCATCAAAGTTTCTCTCATTATAAACTTAATCACAAGGTTATGATAGGGGTGCAGGGTTCTCATTGATACCTTGGGGCTTATATTGACTCGTTTGAAGCTCGTCATTCTTCCAACGATCTCGTAAAATCCGCCGAAACATTCAAGCGATTTTTGGAAACCTTCGGAAAGACCTCTGACGATTTTAATGGGAAATGATTGCAGAAATTGTTTTCTGAGAATTATTTTCCTCCATAAAGTACTATTGTGTAAAAATAGGAAATAGTCAAACCTACAATTTTTGATGCATCAAAACTTTTGTAACTGCCCACCTTGACTCTCAGGCAATTGTTTATTTTTTTGCGCACTTTTTGGACCGGAGCTTTAATTAAAAAAAAAAAAAACGTTCAGCCTCCGTAGCACTTTACTGTTTGGAAACATCTCAACACGGTCGTTATTATGAAAATAAACTCTTGCCTTGTTATGAGATCCTCGGGCACCCATAAGTCTAAACAAAGGTGGTCTATCACAAGTAACTTTGCAGGAATTTTATCAGGTAAAGTCCTACCATTTACGTTAACATGTAATTGAAAATTTCCAGCTATAAGTTAAACTTATCCAAGCCTGTTTCCGACAATAGCTATCAGTTAACCAAGTACAGGCCTTTAAATCAATTTTTACATGTAATACAATTGAACCCCAACTCACAACCACACCAATACATATACAAACGTCCAATTCGTTGTTACAGCCACTCTTTATTAGGCCCGAAAAAAAAGTTTCGTCAGTCATTTTTTTTTTTTATTATTTTTCATTTTAAGAACTCCTTTAATTCGAACACAATATTATGGCTCAAAGGTGATCGTAGTTTGAAGGGGAAGATGCCTTTAAGTCTTGGATCGTTCTTTCTAACAGAAATTCTCGCGCTTTAATAACCATTCATTTCTGAAATTTACATTTGATACAAATTGTGAAAATTTCAGCATTTCAGTATTTCGGAAAGAAAAGAGTTTGCAATACGGTGTAAATAATCTTGGTATAGACAAAGTTTTTTTCCACCTATAACTCGAACTTCTGGTGGATTCCTCATTAAAACCTCAAACCATGGTCTATTGGAAATGGAATACACAGAAATAACTTCTATCCGTTTCCTTTCCAATGAATTGCAATGAGATTTCTGATCATATTTTTAGCATAATGACAGCAAATATACTGACAGATGTGCAGTATGGTGAAATGTACCAAAATAATACTAAAAAGTCGAAGTTATATTTTCATGCTATGGCAGTTTTGTTGTTGATATTCTCTCTCGCGATCTCGAGAATGATCTTTTTGCTTACAGTCATTCCCACTATAGTTTGCGGCGTTACGATATAAAGCCGGCAAAATATTCAAATCAATATGTGCACTGCATTCAGTAGCGTTCTAATATGCCGTGCTATTGTTTTACGTATTTTTCTTCATTTACCCTAAAACCACTGGGGCTAAAATAGGTTATCGTTTTCAGAAACAGATCTTAGATTATGGTTCTCTTTCTTTAACAGTCTGATAAGCTATGTTTTCTTTACTTTTCAGATGAAGATGTTTGCTGGTCTTCTACTTTGCATTCTTTATGTTCCATATGTCTCCATGGAGATGTTGACAGCTGATTTAAGTGCGCCGTCTTCAGAATTTGTAGAAACGTTCGAGAAGCGATGTCCACCTGGACTATGGTGTGGGAAGAAACGTGGAATTCCCGAGGAACAGGCGATGGTATCCGACGATGAAGACCAACATGCCGAAGTAGATGCTTTCGAGAAACGTTGCCCTCCAGGTTTGTGGTGTGGTAAGAAGCGAAGCTTTTCTGGAAGTAAATCAGCAGCAAAACCTAACACCCCGATCGAGGAGGACAAGGAAAATTTGGCTAGTACATTTGAAAAACGTTGCCCCCCTGGTCTCTGGTGTGGAAAGAAACGAAACGTACCCGAAGAAATATCAATCGCAGCGGACCAGAACAGCGAAACGGTATTGGATACATTTGAGAAGCGTTGCCCTCCAGGTCTGTGGTGTGGGAAAAAACGTGGCTTATCAGAGGAAAACATGATGAAAACGTTTGAAAAGCGATGCCCTCCTGGTCTATGGTGTGGAAAGAAAAGACAAGTAAGCGAAAACAAAGCGACTGAAGCAGCTGAAGCAAACAAAGTGGCCGACCAGTTCGAGAAGCGATGTCCACCTGGACTGTGGTGTGGAAAGCGAGAGTTGTCCAATCAAAAATCTATCAATGCTGCACAAACCGAAGAGGATCCCGACCATTCATTGATGAAGGCGTTTGAGAAGCGCTGTCCTCCTGGATTATGGTGTGGAAAGAAACGAGAAGCTCCAGAGGCTAAAGAGAAAAGCGATGATTCCACAATGAAAGACGACCCCGAAGAATCCTCAAGTATGAAGTCTGAGGCTAAAGGACCCAAAAAGCAAGGCCCGCTAATGGATGTCTTTGAAAAACGTTGCCCACCTGGCCTGTGGTGCGGTAAAAAGAGAGCCATTACTGAGGAAATCGCGGCTGAAGACGAAGAAAAAGCCGAGAGTTCGCCATTAGAAGCTTTTGAAAAGCGATGCCCGCCTGGCTTGTGGTGTGGAAAGAAGCGAACAATCTCCAAAATGATAAAAGCACTGAAAAATTGACGAGCCAGAAAAAAAAATAATCTAGCTTGAACGACGCTTTCCGAGGAATTGCATTCAACGCTAGTTAGGATAAACTCGAAATAAAATTATGCTGACATATTTGGACACGATCCAACTAATTGAAAATGGATATTTAAAATAATGGAATAAAGTAATTTTAATGAGCTCGAGGTGTTATGAATTGTGTATGCGCGATTATCTTTTTTTATCGTCTGATGTGCAAGTGGAATTTATTCTTAATCGCATAAGCTACTTTCATGACATGAACAGAAACCTTCCGATTGACTCTCTTTGAACTCCCCATTGCCCTTTTTGTGCTTTCACACTTGAATCAACACATCACTTAAAAACGTTCGGAGAAAAAATATTGTGATTTGAACTGAAACGTGATTTTTTAACAATTTTTGAAGTCACCTGTATTTTTTGCGGCACACCCACAACGTTGATTAGTTGTGTTTACAAAACAAAGGGAACTGGTGCTTGTCTCATCATGTTAATGTCGTTGCAACGCTTCTTTCAAGCATTTTGTCGCCAAACTCGAACATATGTCTCTCGAATCGCAGTCTTAAGTCACGCGTTCCTTAACTAATTCACAGTTCCTTCGTTACGGATAAGAATTAAGAGAAGATTGAGGCGAATGGTAAGCCAAAATAGCGGAAACTACTTTTAGATGTCTAATTTGTTCGAACAAGAGAGGACGAAGTCAAATCGATTTTTTTTCTCGCAAAACTCCTTTGGGTGGCGTGTAAATTCAGTTGAGAAAGTGAAGGAAAAAATAGGTTATGGACACTTTAAACACTCATCAGAAACTCAACCTAAGTTGCTAGAAAACAAGCAGTCCCCTTATTTTACCTTTAAAAATGAAGAACATAGCTTATACTAGTTAATTACTTCCACGTTTCTCTAACCGAGTCCACTACAATCAACTGGCCCAGTTGTGAGTATGTAAATATTCGCTGTCATTGCAATATAGCAATCGAGTTTACAGGTTTAATTGAAACAGTGCTCATCATAAGCTCATCACAAAACAAATCATACCACTCTTAACGCAGACTGACAACTTTTTCTCGCAGAGACAAGTTTCTTCGAACAGCTTACATTTTACAACGTTTCTTCACTGCTGCGGAATCATTTTTACAAATCAGGGGCGGATCTAGAGAGAGGGTGCGCACCCTTCCTAAGATGAAGCCTTCTTCTTCGTATTCGCTTTTAAAATTTGTTTACCTCATCAGTCAGTTACGCCATTCACTAGTGGTGCACCCCATCCTAAGAAAAATCCTGGATCCTCCCCTGTAATTAATCAACTCAACTCAACTTCTTTATTGTGCACATAGTTAATGGAGGAGAGTGGTTATGAAACTCGACAAAGTTCTTTGTTGTATGTTTTTGTTCTCTTTTTTGGCCTTTACCGCGCACAAAAAAGGGGTTGTTTACCGCTGACCTAGGAATTAACTAATAGAAACGTTTTGGTTACGTAACTAGCGCAAAACAAAAGATTGTGCACGGTCGTGGACCTTCCTACATAAATCTTGGCATCTTTGTTTGCTCCTTTGATGTTTGCCGGGTTTCATAACCATTCCCCTGTATTAACTATGTTGTGCACTATTTACAGAGTTTACAGGAATGAAATGTAACTCAAAGTATAAATCAAAGTGGCTATAAGCCACTGAACTCAGAAAATGAATTGTGAAAGAGGGTTGAGGGAATTGCACCGAGCTCGTTTGAATCTGGCAATTGCTCATTCAGGCTCCATATAAAACATCGAACGCTGTACAGTCACCGGTCGCCCGTAGCCTGCAAAACAGGCGGATTAGCGGGCAGAAAGCACAAAACGCGATACACGAACGCGGAGCGCGAGACGAAAAAAATCCGCCTGTAGTCACACCATTGTTTATGCTCCTCCAACCGTCTGGCGAACGGTTTTTGCTGATTGGTTGCTTTAAGCTACGTGACGTCAGACGCGAGAAAAAACAACATGTGTTAAATTGGGTGACAGGCCTACACGGACTCCTACGCCAGGGGGGGGGGGTACTCCCTTATATGGGCTATATAGGTAAGTGCGGCCCCAAAGGGTAGGGTTTTTCATCCGTTTAGGTCATAAATAGGGTATCGATTTTGGTTATTTTGGTTATAAATGGGGTATGGATTTTGCACTCTGGTCTTGAATTGGGTATGTTTCTTATTTAAAAAAAAAAAAAAATCACTGGAAGCTAACATTAAAGTGTAACTTAATTTTTCGATTTCAAAATCAAAATATGTAGTCGTTACCCCCACAAAAACATTTTCTCACGCCCTGAGTTATCACTAGGCTTACGAAGAAAAAGCCACGACAATGTTTCCTTACAACGGAATATTTGTAACCTGTGTCACAGTGCAGTCAACCAATATGATCAGCCTATCAGACCTGTTTACTCAACGACACTCGGTCTTCAACTTCCACTGAACTGGTTGACAACTGATAGCTTAAAGTTTTTTAAAAAACACACTTACATACTTTCGATCGTCTCAACGGGCACAAAAAGAAACTTCACCAATATCAGGAGCCATAATCGGGGACGGAGACCGTACGTAAGCGCGCGCCATTTCTAGTACTGGGGCTGTCCCCATGATATAGGACAATTTTCCTATTTTTAGAACAAATTGCGCCATCGCCTGCAGCACACGCGCGTACATGCTGCGAGGATTTTTGCGGATGTCGCGCGGGGGAAATTGCGTCCGAAATTCCCGAAATTTTTCATGTTTTTAGCCCACTCAAGGTATTCACCTCTGTTGGAATTTTGCATAAGTATTTTCGTCGTGAGCTGCTCCAGTTTGAGTGAAGTAAGACAGTGTCGAATTTGTGTTCCGATGCTTCTTTTACATGAGCTGTACATTACTCCGCTTTAAATTTCACATATGTTTAAGATTAACAGCTTTTCCATGACACAGCAAAAAACTAGCTGGATGTATTTAGATGTAGCAGAGTTTCAGGACTTCATAGTTTCTTAGCTCCTCTTGCCACACGCTTGTCTATCGCGACCGAAAAGTAAAACAAAATAATTGCTAGTTTGAGTTTCGCCTGAATTGTAAGTAACGCTTGATTTTTCATCAAGACACAATAACTTTACGTCTGTAGATACTGCTCAGTTTTATTTGTGTAAAAATCCAGTAAATTGTCTGTTGTCGATGAATGAGAGCGCCCGCCGATGCCTGTTTTGTACAGTCAGTAAACATGACAAATTGTACTTTCGCCGCACTTTCGTGTGAAAACGTACATCGAACTCAAACGATAACTCTATAGTTTTTAAATTTGTTTAATCTTTGAGAACATATTAAAAGCTAAGCTGAAAA